CTTACCTCACTCAGGATAGTGTTTTCTATTTCCATCCATTTGCCTGCAAACTTCAAGAAGTCCTTGTTTTTTACTGCTGAGTAGTACTCTAATATGTATATATTCCATACTTTCTTCATCCATTCTTCAATTGAAGGGCATCTAGGTTGTTTCCAGGTTCTGGCTATTACAAACAATGCTGCTGTGAACATAGTAGAGCATATACTTTTGTTGTATCATAAGGCCTCTCTTGGGCATATTCCCAAGAGTGGTATTGCTGGGTCCATGGGTAGGTTGATCCCGAATTCCCTGAGAAACCTCCACACTGCTTTCCAGAGTGGTTGCAGAACCTTTTGTACAAAACCTTTGTAGTGATTTATACCTCAGTGTTTTTGTCAGTGCGGATTTTGTTTCTGATTAAGATATCTTAGGCTTACTAGTGCATCAGCAAATCTCTCACTTTTACCCATTTCCATTATCAGCTGCAATGAAGGTTCTTTTTCTGAGAATGTGCATGAAGGTTTAGAACCATCTAACAATCACTCTGCTGCACTGATTTTCTGAATTGCTGTGTAGGTTCATTAACAGCCTCACAAGGACTTTACCACATCTTGTTTTCCAAATCTTTCTTGTCTCTCTAGGGCAGTGATTCTCAACATGTGGGTCACAACCCAATCGTGTTCGCATATCAGGTATCCTGCATATCTGATATTCATATTATAATGTATAACAGTAGCAAAATTACAGTTATAAAGTAGCAAGAAAAGTGATTTTATGGGTGGGGGGATCACCATAACATGAAGAACTTTATTAAATGGTCACTGTGTTAGGAAGGTTTAGAACCACTGCTTTAGTGTTAAATCTAATGCAATACATCCCTATAGTTTTTAATTGAACCATCTAAAATTATATGTGGAAAATTTTTAAATGCTATATTTCCCCACTTTCCAATAAGCAGGTCTCTTTGCTGTGTCTCAGTGACAGAAGAGAGCAACTCTATATCCTATTTACCCCAGCACTACTTTACATACTGAAGAATGATTGTGGTAATGACAACGCAAAGTTTATCCCTGACTGTTATGTGTTATGTGGTCATGGGCAAATAATTAACCTATATAAATCTTATCTTCTCCTTTATAAAATACAATGGTTACTTAAAGGATATCTAAGGCCCTTTTCAGCTATCACAATCAGTTTAACCATTCAATGGTCATGTCTGAACTCAGAATCCCAAATTCTGAACATTTTCTTTCAGGAATTTTATCTTTATTTTGAAATTTGTTATTTTACTCACTAACATGTTAGTTTAGTTAGTTTGGTTGACTAGGGGTCTGGCTGATTGGTTTTCTAGAGTGCTAAAGGATGGTACCCCAAGGTCTTACAAATACCAGACAAGCACACTAACACTAATATATATGCTCGGGTCCTAGCATAAGCCCTATTGCTTTAAAGATGCATTAATGTGCATCTTTATGTTTACATGCGTATATGTGTATGAATTTTTTTCTATTATTAAGCCTCGCATGTCATTTTTCAAACCAAGTACAGAGTCTCTAAGTAGTGTTCAAGAGCTCAATTCTTCCTGGTTAAATGTAAAGGACCTAAAACAATAGACAGAAAGAAATTAGTGGAAAGATGATTATGAAGGCCTTAAATGCATCTGAAGTTCCTAGAATGAGAAGTCACCTCATTTTTCGTAGGCAACTCTAAAACGTTATGGAGAACATTCTCCATTAATAGGTTACTTAAAATTAGGGATTACAATATTTCTCAAATAGAAGTCTAAAATATTGAGCTACAATACACAGAAACCAAACCTTTATAAAATATTTAATATAATAGACACTTTAATATCATTTTATTTTATTTTATTATTCATAACCATTGTCTAAAATACATTTAAAGCAAATTATTTTAAAATCTTTCATTGTTGGAAACTTTTATACATCCTTGTAATGTGTTTTGATCAAATCCACTTCCCAATCCCTCACCTTCAATTACTCTGCCATCTTTCCGTCATTTTTCCCTTTCAACTTCATGTGCTTTGTTTATTAAACCCTCTGTAGCCTCTCTGGGATCACATCCCTGAAGGAAACTGATTCTCCCTTCACCAGCAGCCATCAGTTGCTATTGGCTGGGGCTTTAAGAACCCTCCTCCTTCCAGGTCAGGATTTTGGCTGATTTGATCTTGCATAGGTCATGTGCATATAGTCACATCTGCAATGGGTTCAAATGTCTCCATCATGTCCAGCTAATATTGTTTCTCTGTGAATGTCCACTACTATGGCTCTTAGAAAATTTCAGTGCTCTCTTCTGCAATAACTTATTCTTGGGTAAAGAGGGAGCACAATATATATGTTCCCCTTTAGAGCTGAACACTCCACAGTTAAAGTGAGTTATTTTTAGGTATAAGGTTCAGGAGACTTTATGTTTTGGGAAAAAAAAAACCTATTCTGAATCATAGATGTTTTATTGTTCCAAAACTAGAAAGTTGACAATGAGTTGAAAATCAATTGGTTAGTTCCCACCTTGTTTGTCTTCAAGAGTCTTTCTTTAAACAATCTTGACAATTTCATTCACATAAGGAAAATATTCTGATTTTTCTTCCCCACTCTTATCAAACCCTCTTTCTTCCCTACAGATTTTGTTCCCACATTCATGACATTTGTTTCATGACCCAGTGAGTTTAACCCCAGCCATCTGTTTGACCCTGAGTTTGGGGAACTTTATGTTGAATCCTGGTGGGCTTATCAGTTGGTGCACAGCTGAAGACAATGTCTCCCCCATCTCAAAATTTGTTGGTAGCCAGAATTTGTTCATCTGGGGGGAGCGGTCCCATGAGGCATTCTCTAGTCCATAGAAGACTATTGGTAGGGCCAGTTCTATGCAGACCCGGTGCCCTTAAAGGCAGCAGCTGTGAGTTCATAATTGCAGTGGTTTTCTTGTGCCTAGAAGATGGTGTTCACAGTCCTTCTTGCTATCACTAATTCCCATTGTCAAAACAAAGTTATGTTCTCACCTAAATTTTGTATTTTCAATGGCAAGTTATCCAAATAACAAGAAGTTTACATATCAATAGCATAAGACCCATGGAATTGTTGAGTTAAGCATTCATTCTTGAGGTGTTAACACATTAGTAGCAGATTTGCTGTGGAGTGGAAATCAGGCAGTATTTTTGCATGTCCTGACACCACCTTCTCATATGAACCTCCGTTTC